AAAAGTGTTATTCAATTTTATAATAAATATTAATTTGTTAAAACTGGCAGAAAAAAATATTTTATAATTTACACTATTGTAAATGTTATTTAAAGTTATTTTTAAATTTGTGTGTATATTTATTTTAATATATATATATATATATATGAAATTTATTTAACTTTCATTTACTAAATTATGTGAGAAAAAAAAATTGAGTGAAACTAAGCTATGTAGGAAATCATTGACTTCTGTACTTAAGTAATATTTATTTATTTAATATTTTTAATTACTACTTTTAATACTAAAAAATGATTTACTCAAGGCCTTGTGGGTGGGAAAAAAATAATAATCAATAATGTCAAAGTATACATTTTGAAATCAAAATGAAATTTTTTTTTTCAAATATAAATTAAATAATTTTTACAATCAGTCAATCTCTCTCATTTGAAACCCAAGAGTCCGTCTTCATTTGATTATGCAACAAAAGGAGATCTTTTTGAAGAAGTGGAAGTGGATCACATGCTTTCAAAAACTAAACCAGGGCATCACATTGAGGACTTTAAGCTTTAAAAACCAGCACAGATCAAAGTCCGGCCCACCATCCACCAAGACCAGAGACCCTGCTGGCATCACAACTGCTACACATCGTTTTATTAAAAAAGTAGCAACATCTGGTGCCATTAATTATTGATGTGGTCTGAATTTGTTAAGGAGGGTGTTATATTTGGTAAAAACGGGTCACACAGTAAGAAATGACAGAAGTGACCCAATTAAGTCATGGGCCCCTCCGCCAGGCACAGCCAACTCACATGGGGCTCGTTTCCAAAGTTTGGAGAGATTAATCAATAAAAGTGACAGAAATAAACCGCACTTTCTTTGGTACCCTGTGACACACTGAGATCAGAAACTGGATGGCAACAGAATATAGAAAATAAAAATAAAAATGTACAAATTACAGAGAATTACTGAGAATAGAAAATAGGAAGAAAACAAAAACAAAATATTAAAAGGGCCATATTGTACACTTTAGTAATAATATTTATTTGTATCACAAAGTGAGCGTATTAAAATAAAATAAAAATCAAAAAAATAATGAATAAATAATTTTAAATTGTATTAATTATATTATTTTTATTATAAATAATAAAAAATTATAATAAATACAATTATAAATAAAAATGAAACATTTTAAAATGTAAGAGTTGTGAATATTCTGGTATGTATGTACCGTATATTAGACTTTTTTGGAAGAACAAGAAAAAAAGAACTACAAAAATGATAAATGAAATATAAAATGAAATATAAATAAAAATAAAAATAAATTTAAAATGTAAGAGTTGTGAATATTCTGGTATGTATGTATCGTGTATTAAACTTTTTTGGAAGAACAAGAAAAAAATAAAATAAAATAAAAAACTACAAAAATTATAAATGAAATATAAAATGAAATATAAATAAAAATAAAAACAATTTTAAAATGTAACAGTTGTGAATATTCTGGTATGTATGTATCGTATATTAAACTTTTTTTTTTTTTTTAAGATTTATTTTTGGCGTTTTTGCCTTTTATTGATAGGATAGTAGTAAGACAGGAAGCGAAGAGGGAGAGAGAGGGGGGAT